GGGCCTGACTTTTCATAAATTAGCAGTTATTTGCAATTATTTGCAGCTATTGCAAATAATTGAAAATGGGGTGCTTATTACAACAAGTGTTTTTATTCTAATCCTCAAATTTACAGTGACTTGAATTATAATTAACCTTTAAGCAAGAAGTCCTTGATATGACTAATCTACGCAGCATTAATCAGAATTATTACTGGTTCTGTTAACACCCTTCCAAAGAAACATATTTTCTAAGCAAGCAGAACTTAAAAGCGATGAGAAAATTAGGATCACTAAAAAGCAATAAAGGTACAAAAGTACAGCTCATTGTGAAGCTCCACGGTGTTAGCAACGTTGTAAGGTTTTACTTCTCTAACTCTAAATGAATCATAAAGGCTAAATACGCATTTGGAAATTCTAAACCTGAATTGTTTTTCTAAGTTTAGGGACTGATTAGGGATTAAAGATATTGTTTCAACTGCAATGAGTGAGCCAGACAACCTGTTTTAACTGGCCATTTCTGGAGCCAATTCTGAAGTGGTATGAAAAGACCTAACAAAGACCTTATAAAACAGGGTTAGGGTTTGTTTTTTTTTAATCAGATTTCATTTTACTCTGCTCATTTCCTTCTTATGAGCTGAATACTGTAGTCCTCCCAAGAACAAAATTCCCATGGACATCAGGCTATATGTAAAGTCCTTCTAATGCCCTTCACAGTGAGAATGTATAATGGGCGGACCTCTCTGACTTGTATAGTCTAAAGCTAGCTGAGTTTCCTAGAAATTGCTTCACTGAAACTGAGTGCCACAGATGTAGGCAGGGCATGAGCAAGTGTGGCTTCATCAATTGCCATGGGTTGTTCTGTTCCAGACTCCTGAGAATTTGGCTCTCACTCCGCTGCAGAATGGAAAAGTCACAGTATTTTGGTTAGATAGCAATCTCAGTAACAAAGCCTGAGCCAGCAGATGACAAATTCTGGAGAATCAACACAGATACCAGTGAACAAAATTAAAATTATTATAACTTCATAGTTCTCCAAATTGTTTTTCCTAGCTCTTCTGTATGTCTCTACCTTCACAGGATTCTTTCAGCGGAGTCAGGCAAGGATAGGGCATTGTACTTGCCAATGGGTAAATCAGAATAACATGTAAGACAAGCATACCGTAGTCACTTCGTGTGATTAAAATTAGGACCCTTCCATGTCAGAAGGGACAGTTTGGGCTTTCCCAAGGTCTGTGGCTCTTGAGGAGTTTGCAGCTAGACTCATGCCAGATGCAGGAATTTTTGGAGGTCCTCCAGGCCAACAGGCAGGAGTTTTGAAGCTCCAAGCCTGCCTCAAAGTTGTGTATCGGGGCATGTCAGGGTTTTCCCCAAGCCCACAGAGCTAGGTTTCCTGTGTATGGAAACTGTGGGCTGGACCTACACTACCAGAATCCTCCACAGAAATTCTGATGCTTTGGCATGGTTTGCCAACCCAGAGGTGTGCCTGCAGGAATCCTGCCCTTGGCATGACTGGACTCATAAGTGAATAGCAGGGAAAGGTGTGCATGTCCTGGTTCCATGGCAGATCTGCCAGTCAGCCCTGAGAGAAAAAACTGCTATGGTGCCAGCACTGGAGCAGATATTAAATAAAGTGTTTTGGGACCAATGAACTAATAAAGGTGAGAGTTTCTTATCTAAAGCACTAGATAAGGATAAGGATTGAAATGGCATTGTTCCTTGCAAATTCATGTTCAAAAGATTGGTGTAGTCTCATTTCTATAGCATAAAAGAAAATAATGAAGTAATCTGATGCAGAAGGAAAATACTAAGATGGCAGTAAGTCTTAAAAAAAAAAGTTTAGAATGTTAAGGGCTTTTGCACAGTTTATATTGATAAGGGGAATAACTGGCTCACATGGTTTTGGGTTTTAGCAACAATAACATGTTTTATCAGTGACTTCAAACATTTTTATTTATAAAAGTAGGATAGTGATTTCAAGAATGGAAGCAACTTTGTTTCGATGTTATAGAAAAGTCAATAGTTTAGGCACTTTTCTGCAGCACAGATTTTCTTTTGGGGCAAACATTGATATGGACAGGAAAATGTGTTATATTCATTAGAAGAATAATTATAGAAAGAAGAGCCTTCTGTGGGAAAACAGTGTATCCAGCAACTGCTGTTCTCTATGGTTGCTTGAATAAGCATAGAGCTGTGTGTTTCAGGTACTAGAAGTGACCTGGGCCTGTATAAGAACAAGGCTTCAAATAATTTCATTGTTGTGTGTCTCAGCTATGCGATGAAGGCAAATTCCAACTGAATATTTTATTAGAATTCCATTGTTAATAAACGCTTGCCAAATTAGCAGTGTTAAAAACAGCTATTAGCATTACAAACTGGAGTTCAACTGTTTCACGTTTTTTAAGCAAAAGTCCAAGTTTTAGCCAATTACAGATTGTATAAAAGCCAAAAGAAGATGTTCAGCAGTGTCTTAGGTTAACTTCTAAGAGCAAAGTTAGCCTCTGTCTCAGCCCGTAAAAGCTTTAATCACCATGAAGGCCAGTTGTGAATATGTCTAGATAATAATCCTCATAAAAATTTGACTATCCACTGATGCAAATTACAAGGTGCCATTTTTAGGATTAAATTCTGATGGAGCTTACATTGCACTAGGTGTACAACATGCCATTATGTGGTCCTTTTCTGTTTCAGACGTTTTATGATAAGAGGGGAAAATGAACATTAGCAAAGTTTGTTAATAGTAGTATATCATTTGCTGTCTGACCCATTAATATTTCCACAATTTACAAACATTTGAGGGTGAAAATGAGCACACATAGAGGCAGTCTCTTAGTGGTTTAAATTATTAATGTATCAAGCCATTAGAGGTTGCTCTTAAAAAGATAACAGATCACCCCTGTAAAGTGGATGCAATTTACAAGCTTGTTGATTTTTTTAATACCAAGTTGCCTGTTTTGTAGGATTGATACAGATTGCTCCAAGCCCTAACAGCAGATGAAGTTTGAATGCTGAAATTCATCTTGTGTAATATGGTGGTTCCTAAGTAGTGATTCCACAGCTGTGCCAAAGGGTTAAACTAATATTCACAGAGAGTCATCACTTGCTAATGGCTTTCTATACAGCTGCCAAACAGTATCTCAAACAGGGGAGTTCCTTATTTTTCTGTCAAAACCTGCCTCTTTAACTCCTCTTTCCAAATTTTGTGCTCCCTGCCCCTGCTTTAGAAGGCAGAGAAGCTCCTGGTATATTCTTACTAGATAAAACTTTGGGTTTATCATAAAAAGTTGAGGTGAGATGTTTAGCAAAGTGTTATAAATCCTGATTACTCTGATTCCTTTCATTCCTCTCAGAATTTCATGTTAGTTTGGAACAAATTCTGAGCTCGTTTAATGTAAAAGACTTAGAACCAGGCAATGCTTTGTTGAATCCTAGAGCTACAATGTCAAATCAAAGTGCAGTCCAAAGCAAGCATTTTTTCCTAACTGCTATTACTCCATGGCTCTGGCGTCATGTTTCTGTGATGGACTAATCAGAATGGTTTCTTGCCTTTGCGTAACAGGGACATCCGCATGCCTTATTGAGAGGAAGCTGTTTTCTTTACATTTCACACATCGTTGACAGTGTTAAATTTGATAGGTTCTCATTTCTTTTTTTGCTCTCTGAGTGTCTCGTTATTCTCATCAGAGCTGTTACTCAGCCAGTCAGATCCTAGTCTCTACCAGCGCACAACTTCTTCCGCTCCACAGTTGATATTGTTTTAAAGCTCTGTGTCATATAATATTCTATTTACGATAATAAGTTGCCAGCTTCTTCCATTATCAGTGTGCAAGAATAATTCCTCATTTGCTCACCCCGTGCAACATGCCTGTATTTCTGTGGAGGCAAAGAAGTAAAGAGAAATATTATCCAATTGCTTATATCCACTATCTCTATATGTTCTCAGTAATTATATCAAATAGGTTTATGATACATCTGTCTTTTAGCTATTTGAAGAAGCATTTGATGGGTAATTTTTAGTCATTTAAGTTCAGTGATATTGTTAGGTTAGTAAATAGATCTTTATTAATTGGGTTACACTACTAACTTTTAAAGTTACAATAGCTTGTGAGTGTATCTTCTTGATTCAAACTTACGAGAAAAAAATGCAAGATTAAATAGCAGGAAATCTTGTCCAGGAGAGTTTGGAAAGGAAACCATATGGCTTATTAATCTTCCATTATCCCCCTTCAGGCATGGAGATAGGTAATAAAATATGTCCTCACTCTTCTGTTTAATGCTGCTTCTGCTGCAGCTCAGCTTGATTCCTGCTATTTGTCTGTTATGTTTGTACAAATGAATGGACAGAAAGGGGGCAGAATAGGGGGAATGAGGAGAGCTGTGACTTTCCCAGCTGTTCACAGTCAGAGAAGTTGTTGGGTACAGAGAACTGAAGTATTTTACTGTCAGTATGAGAAGGGAGAGTACCATGATGCTGGGGGTCTCTGACTTGAAAGGAGATCGCTTTTGACCCCCTTTTTGGGCATGATGCAGCTAAGTACCTCCCTTGAACACATATTGCAACAGTACCACCTGGCCTCTCAATTTGTCATTTCTTTGTTGCACCCTTACCCTGTCTGCCCATCTGTTCACATTCGTGATAGAAAACTACCTCATAACACATGACTGATATGAACTGTCCCTTTTTAAAGTTAGAAATTACTCAGAGCTCCCCTCTTGCCTTCATACTTCTTTTGGTATAATTTTGGCATATTATTTAGCAGTACAGATTGCATATTAACAGTCCTTAACCTCTCAAAACTATGTTTGACACCTTCTGCTTCTTTTGCTTTTCATGTGCTGTGTGATGGCTTGCTACAAGAATTTATGCTGATGAAAGTTACTCATGTTTAAAAGTATGTGTAGATAACTGTTGCATTGGAGCTGGACAGCTCTAAGTAAAACAGGGAAAATACTATCCAAAAGAAACTTGAATTACTGCTAAACAACTAATCTAACGTTCTTCTCATATGGTATTTTTTAAGGGTGAACCAGGTTTCATTGGTCCGCAAGGAGAACCTGGGTTGCCAGGGCTACCAGGAACAAAGGTAAGGGTAACTGGCAGCCGTTGCAGCTAATGCCAGTTTCAGCTTCCTCATTATATAGCAGAGGCTAAGACTGTATGTCGTGGTTTAACCCCAGCCAGACAGCTTGTCCACTCTCTCCCCCCCCTCTTCTTGCCCTCCCCTATTCTTGGGGGGACGGAGAGGAGAATCAAAAAGAATGCAACTCCCACAGGTTGAGATAAAAACAGTTTAGTAACTAAGGTATAACACAAATCACTACTGCTACCACCAATAATAGTAATGGTAAAGGAAATAACAAGGGAAGAGAATACACCACCTCATCACCAGGCAACCGGTAACTCACCCCCCCCAGCCCGATCAAGCACCGACCGATACCTCCTCCAACCCTGCAGTCCACTTCCTTCCGGGTAACTCCCAGTTACCTCCTGGGCATGACATGCTGTGGTATGGAATACTTCTTTGGTCAGTTTGGGTCAGGTCCCTGCTTCCTCCCGGCTTCCCTCCTCCCTGGCAGAGCATGAGGCCAACAAAGCCCTTGGCCAAACCAAAGCATTATTTTTATCAGCTCTGTTCCCATCCCGAAAGTCAAAACACAGCACTGCACCAGCTACCAAGAAAGAGAAAAATGACTGCTACTGCTAAACCCAGGACACGGTACTAATGGCAGAAAACGTGAAAAATCTTAGTTCATGGATCAGTGCTAAGATATATGTCTTTGTACTGATCCCCTCAAACAATATGAAGGCAGATATTTTATCCACTCATAACTTAAGTTCACCTATTGCCTTTATTCATGTTAGCATTCCAAAGCTTGCTCGCTCAAGACACTGAATATGCATGACTGAAGAAAATATTATTTTTTTAATTTAGTTTTTTTTAAGAAAAAGCTTGAAAGTATGTGCAGGTATTAGAACTTTGATACTACACTCCAGACTCTGAAAATACAGATCCACTAAACCTATATTATTTCATTTTTTCCCATGTTGTTTTTTAGTGACTGTATGACAGTTAGAGTATTATGAATCGTACGAATGGTCTCACCATTTGAAAATCTTTATTCCAGTCCTTTCAGAATAGGGAAAATACCCCAAGCATTTCCATTTTGAAGCTGCCTTCTTTTACCTTCAAGAAGACTGTATTTACTCAGCAGAGAGTTCCCCAACCCACTACAAGTCACAGATTACCTTGAAAAAGTTTTCTTCTGATGGTTTGGTTTCCTTGGTTTGTGCTGAGATGGTGGTGTGCTGAAGACTGCCTGGTATGCTGTGATATATGTGTATCTGTTGCAATAGGGTGACAGAGGAGAGGCTGGTCCTGTTGGGAAGGGTGAGCGGGGTGAACCTGGAGTTCCTGGACCAAAGGTCAGTCTGATTTCACTTTGGAAATGTTTTGTTAGTTTAACACCTACAAACACATCTTGTCCTGCTGAAAAATAGAGCAAAAGCTTAGTGAGTGAGCTCTTAGATGAAAATGCTGTCAAATGCTCCAGTCCTGAACACAATGGCAGTTTTGTGTTCACAGCTGTGGAGCTGCAGTCTGAATGAACTCTTATCTGGTCTACAAAGTAAACATACCACCTACATACACTGTCATGGAGTCGGTCTAATTCATTCCAACTAAAACCCTGACCTCCAGGTCCCTAACTTTCAGTACTGAAGTTCGAACTCTTTGACCAACATAGCTATTGTGTAGCTACTGAATGCAGAGAAAATCCATTTTGCATGCTGTCTTCTAACTCTGTAAGAAAGATATCATTCTAACTAGATTTTAGTCTTGTCTTAATATTTTCCACTGTGTCAGTACCATCCCTTTCCTATCACATCTTGAAAATAATAAGGCAGATTCCGTGCTCCTTGGCACAGTTTAGTTATTTTGTATTCACCTGAACTGTTAGGAAAAGAAGTTGTGGTAACATGTTGTTTCCTTATTTTAGGATATTTATCTTCACTATCTTTTACCTATAATTTTTGAGGAGTTATGGAATAACATCAGTAATTCCTGCAGGCCACTGTTAATGATACCTAGTCTACTAATGCTGATACTACTTTTCCACTGGGAGAATGGAACCTGTGGCTTTTGAATGCTGGTGTTAAAGAATATCTTACTCTGGGTGCTATTAAATTCAGTGCCTTTACAGATTCATTACCTTGGTCATATAAAATGAAGTATTTCTGCTTGTTCGTACTGTAGTTAGTTATTACTAATTTCTTTTTCTCTTCATTTCCATTTCTGTATCAACTTTTCTCCTTGTCTGTCCTCCTGCAAACAGGGAAAAACAGGTGAACCTGGATCTAGAGGCCCAAAAGGGTCAAAGGTTAGTAGTAAAGAAACTGTATTTAGTTGAGCAATTAACATAATGATATTCAGGATAAATTTGTAATATTTCACAGAAACTTCACTTATCTCTCTAAAAGAACCCATAACAGTCTACAGTGTTCTTTATAAGACAAACCTTCTGACTTTTAGCTGTAGCTATTAGTGTTAAAACCTGTGTATTTTAAACACTGTAATTCTAGTTCTTTTTCTGTTATAACATCTATTCCACTCTGCTCTGGTTTTTATCATGCAGCTTGGTTTCTCTCTGTATAACTAATGTGGGTCAGTCCTCCCACATGCCAGGGGCCAACACCTGACTATGCCAGTGGGGATTTAATTGTTTTTCATAATAATTTTGTGGATCCACCCTTTGATGAGTTAGGAATCAGTGGTATTCCATGTACTGAGATACAACAGCCAGAAGTCTACAAAGGCAAGACTTGTAGGCTACATTACTGGTTTATCTACTTTAAAGAAAAATAATTTGATTATATATACCTACCCATGCATCTACCTCCATATAGATATAGTTGGTTCACGTATATGTAGAGAAATAAGATATATGCTTTTCTATGACTTCATCCACTGTGCAAATACCATGCTCAATAGTCTCTTTCATGTTATAATACGGAATCAAAGCAAAATCAAAATAGATTTGATTAGGCAGTTGTTGAGTCTATGTCATAATAAAGATGACAAGATAATGTAGGCTGATAGGATACTGTTTGCAGTACTTGTAAGGTCCTTGAGGAGCAGTCCATTCACAGTGCTTAAGGATATGATTAAATAAATGCCACTTAACCTCATTCATTCTTATCAGAAATAAACACTGGAAAATGATGGGGCTGATGAGAGGATTAAAGCATCAGAGTGAGAGTAGAAGAGTAGATCAGCCTCTTATTTGCCTACGGTACCTGGGCATTAAATGCACCAGAAAGATAAATATATCCTCTTTAATCCCTTTTATACCAAATAAGGAAATACAATTTTCATTTTACCTGCATGTCTTGAAAATCTGACCCGCAGAAGTCGAGCTAGTGGTTGGGAACTCATTTTTTTTAACAGTTCTAATAGTACATTCCCTAGCTGCTGCCAAGGCAACACTGAAAGGAAAGGCAGATGGCACAACCTTGATCATGTCCTGCCAGCAGCCTGCTCTCCATATTCCTTCGTTAGCCCCATGAAAGTTTTCTATTTTCTGTGTTTTCTGTTGCCACTGGTGAATTAATCATTCTTCCCTGACTTGTACTAAAACTTTATAGATTTCAACAGAAGCAAAAGTTGCAGTTCTTATTCATATTAATTTTGAGTAATATAAAAATGTAAGACCTTGCTATGAAAGTGACTGTGAAATGAAATGAATCATAGTCACTGGCCGCTGGGTTATGAATGCATACATGTCTGAAATTCCCTTTATTGCTTGAAACATTTCTAATAGCTGGGAAAAAAAGGCTCTGTGCAAGATGGTAAAGATCCTAAGCCTGTCACAGTAAGGGAGTAAAGGAATTCTAATTCTAACAATAATGTTGTACTTGTAGGGGAGGCAATGACTCATAGAAGGGAAGTTCAGAAAGTTAGGGGAGTCGTGATTGCAGAAAGAAAAGTTTATACACCTTGAAACACACCATTGAAGAAGTCGTTGAGTGTTTTCAGATTGAGTGATTTCATTTTTCTAACTTTACTTTAAAGCTTTTGATAACACTATTAAGAATAGGGAAGTTATACAAGTTATTTAATTGGTAATCTGTCTTTTATTGGTTCACTGGGATTTCTTATTCCAAATCAATACAGCACTCTAACAATTTACAGAGAAATAAATGCCACTACACAGATTTTTATGTATTTATTCCTTTAATAAATCAAGATCCACATTTTGTTTCTGTTGAGAGGCCTTTTAACCTTATTTAAGATAACTATATTTAAAATTGGAGAACTACATAATGTATTTTCAAATGGCATTCCTGTCTTCAAATATAATTTTTACATAGGGTGATACAGGTGACAGAGGTGACACAGGATCTACAGGTCCACGGGTAAGTCTGCTTCTCATTTCAGATATTTGTTTTGTACTCTTAGGTTCAGTCCATATTATGAATTGAAACTGTAGGAGTAACTCCAACTAAACCAGTGAAATTGGGCACTTGACTCTGACGGAATGTGTGATGCTAACTGGCCTTTAATATGAATAACAGCCCTTGCTACTATTAGAAGCAGTCTCTTATTCATAGTTCATGGCCAGGATGTTACATGCCAGATGTTCTGACTTTGTTCACAGCCAGTACAGAACTAAAATATAGGAATTGCTTAAATATTTGACCTCAGAGGTTTCACATATTTGCTTTCCCAACAGAACAAGTCACTGAGTACTGACCTGTTTGTTTATATTTATGTTTATCTTTCTTTTATTTTTTAGTAATTGTTTTCTTTGAGAACATTCTTCAGTTTAATGCTTACTTTGTGGTTAGGAGTAATATGTTTTAAGTACAACAGGATTCCAACACTGCACAATCAAGTCAAAGCATGTGTCAGTAGTTAAGTGTTTAGAATAGTCTTTGGTAGGTGTCTCAAAACTTTCATGGAAAATGTATTACAGGGACCACCTGGACAGAAAGGCGATCAAGGTGCAACAGAGATAATTGATTATAATGGCAACATCCATGAAGCACTGCAGGTATGCAAACATAACAAGGCTGGAGTGGTTTAGTCTGGTCTGGGAAAAAGCAGTTTGATAGCATTATATTTCTCTTTTGTGTAGACCTTGAAAACATTTTGTGTGCAAAGATTTGCTGGGTTTATTAACCAAGAATCTCTTTCTATATTTGGAAACCAGGTTTTCTGTTTGGTGTTAGACAAACTATTTCCTTGATACGAATTAGCTGAATGGATTAGTTTCATTTCCCCTGGAGAGTACTGACATCATCTAATGAGAATAAAGCTGATTCATTGCTGGCTGTGGTACTTAGTGCTGAATTCATGCAATAAACCATATACATAGGGTCAACAGAAGTGTCTGCTTTTCAGTTCATGTAGTATAATATTGACATTTCTTTTTTTCCCTTTCTTCCTCCTCTTCTTATAAAATGTAAAGAGCAGAATATTTGAGATTTGGAAACCATGTAACACGGTTCCATTAGCAAGCTGGGGATTCAATCAGCAACTTGAGTATGTTAAATAGGCCAAGGACTAGTCTTCCTACTTATTCATTTCCAGAAAACTTATTTTGACTGGTGTGCAAAGAAGTGTGGAGGATTAAAGCGGGGTTACAAAAAGAATGAATGAGTGTTTGGGTAAAAGCAAAGTTCCAAGGTGACATGTGTCATTGCAGTCAAAGTGATTTACATTGCAGTACACACAGATGCAAATTCTGTGCAGTATTACTCCGCCAAAGTGAATGGTTTGCTTATGTGCAACTCAAGACTGAATTTGGCTCATTGTGCATCTGATCATTTTCTCACTGAACTTTTTTCCTTGCAGTTACTCAGTGGGAGTGGATAGATGTCTGGCCAGTCATTTGGTTTTCAAGACTCTTTTGAAATATGAAAAAACCCTCACTGCCTTTACTAAAATCTAAAAGCCTGTATGTCATTAAGGCCAAGTCAGATCTTTCATTGTGAGTGGTGTCTATAGGGAAGTCTACATAGGCATGTTGTGAGGCTCTGCATTATATCTGTCTCATTTGGTTTACTTTTAAGAGAATTCAAACACACAACTTGCAGTCTTTTAAATTACTCTCTGAGTTAGATGCCTAAAGCAGCCTGAAATTAATGTTGCACATTACCAGACACAGATTTACCAGTGGCTTTAACCCCTGTATGTCCTTTATTCTGTCTTTGTATCTTAACTCTGGCATCAATGTTACTTTCAAGCTTCTTTAGAAAACCTGCAGCACATAAGGAAGTCTTAAAAAGGGACTAAAGCCTATTACAGTGGTTGAAATATATTAGGAGGCCCTTATCCCATTGTAAATCATTTCAGATGTCATCACCTTCTGATCCAGGGCAACAAATAATTGATATTAATGGGAATGGCTGTGCAACGCTGGTGTAAGTAAGATTATATAGGATCAGTTGAAAATATCCTTGCCAAATCCAGCTCAGTCCTTTCAGATGGCAAGCACCCATTCCTAAGTCTCCTGGTGCCAAATTCTTAGGGGGTCTGAGATTTGCAGCTCTCTCTCCCATAGGAGCAAATGAGAACTTTCAGTGCTGAGCACTGAGCTGTGAACTTGCACAGAATTTGGCCTGCTGATTTAAGAAGCTTGCAAGATCTGGGCTGCCAGTCTGGGGTTTTTTTAGAATTTGGTAATAAATCAAGTAGCCTAGAAGCTTCAGAACAATTTAGTTGCTTTTCCCTGTGCCTCCTACTCAATCTCACGAGTCCATCAGCAGTGAAAATTGCAATATTAAAATTATCATCATAGTTCAAACAAGACCCCTGCAGAGCATATGTAGCTTTCACTGGGAGGGGCAGATACAAAATCTGTGTCTCTCCAGACTTATTCTGCAGAATTTCCTAAAGCAAAATACAGTAGCTACAAAAGTTAAATTTTGTAGGAATTACAAGTTCAGATATTCAGACCTGAATAAGCTGCTTAAAATGAACCCACTACTGTGAAATGCAAACATTCATTTGGAATTGTTATTTTAGGTTTTCATGTATAGATAAACTGAATTTCTCGGTATATTTAAAGTGATTGATTTATTTCTATTAATATGTTAAAATATAAAGGGCATCAATGCATTAAAGCATGTGTTAGAGATTTCATTTTTTTCAAGTACTTTTTATTGAGCAGGTTCCAGATTCTTGACTATAGTATGTATTGCCACACTGGCAAATGAAGATTGTTTTAAAGCTTAAAATGGAAGATTTACAAACCTTTGTTTCCACATAGGAAAGCAATTAGTGAAGCTAAATATTTCTTCTTCCATGTAGGCCAGTAGGTTCTTCACAGGCAATAGGAAAGCATGTGCAAGCAGCAGTATCTGGAGTCTTTACCCTGTTTAAAAATATAGACAAGCATTTTAATGACTTTTCAACACTTCTTCACTTGCTTTTAGAGTATTCTTTAGCAAAAAAAAAAAACAAAACAAAACAAAACAAAACGTGCGAGTCTGAGAGATTTTACCTCCTTCCATGATAAAAATGTATTTTGTCTTTCCAAGCATTTAAAGCAGAACTGTAGTACATATAGCTGAGTTTGCGGGCCAGCAGTTTAGGATTCAGAACTTAATATTTTTGTATATCTATATTTCTATGGGAAAATCAATTTTATGTCGCATCTAGGAATTGTATTCATTAATTAAACATTGCTGCAAAGCCCGCAAAACACAGGGCTTAATCAACTTAAGGCACTAAGTCATCATGTTTTCCTAAAATGTTTTAAAAAAACCTTCTGAAAGACATTTGCTATGATTTTGTTATTTAGTCATCATTTATTTAATCTCTGAAATTGTGCAAGAATGTGCAGTCTTGACCTGTGCAGTATCCTGATTCCCATAGAAACCAAGCAGCTAGTAAAACAGTGAGAGTTAAAAATATTATGGTTTTTACTCTTAATTTTTTTGAGGCATGACATCTCCTAGATGCAGCATAGGTTTTGTCGAGATGATAACTGTAGCAAGCAGAATAATTTATATCATTGTTCAGTTCTGGTAATGGTGTCTTTTATTAATACATTTTGCCAACAGAGGATCGCCACCCTCACTGTCACGGTAATTCCTATTGCATTGCTTACTGTGTGTTTTAGAAATCCTCCTTTGTGTAACAGCATGTTCATGTTTCTACCAGCTCAGGACATGCCTTCACTGGATGTCAATCTGGTTCATCATCACATTTATTTATTTGTTTATTTTCTTGGTGTGTCCATAACAGGGAACTCATTGTTGAAAGCCATTCAACAATGGAACCAGTTCTGCTCCTGATGAATTAATGGCAAAGCTTCAGTTAATTTAAGAGATTAGAAAAATACAGAACTCCATTATTTCTTTAGGTACTCATCTAGGCATATAGCTGCTCTGGAATTTTTGGTGTATTTTTCCATCTCTGTGTGTCGACATGGGCGTTGAGTGAAAACATGTAGCAGGATTTGAGTACTAAACAATTTTCTATTCTTAACCTTATTTTCAGGGTAGAAAATCAGTTCTTTCAAATTACCGTTGAAGAAACTTTGGGATTTTTCATATTAGATTCAAATCAATTATTTTCTGGGAAAAAAAAAAAAAATAGTACCAAAGTATGAGGATTTCCCTTGTCCCGTCTTATCAGCTATTTCTAAGATAAATTTTCCAGCACCTGTTCCCAAAATGTGAGCATTTCTGAACACCCCAGTGCTTTTACCTCAGCCAGTTTCTGCCCCTGCCTACTGCCAGAGGTAGAAATGAAAAAAGTAGTGACAACTTGTTCCATGGCGATTTCACGAAGCATTGGTTATCCCTTAATGCACTTAGCATCTTTTAGCAGAATCCTGTTTTCAATCAGTTGGAAGTTTCTCCTGACCTGTGATTGTTTTGAATCAGGCTGTGAGGGCTGGCAAATATGGTCTTTTGGTCTCCCTGCCATTAAGACAAGCTTTGCCATTTTATCAATGGGAGCTGCAGGACTTTATTATAAAATATGAGCTGTACTGTTATTTTAACATTGTTTTTGTGGTACCCTTCTGATTGTTGATAGTCGTCATAGATTAACAGCTTGTCCATAACTGGTCTTGGTTACCCTTGTATTAAAAATCTAACCCATTTTGTTATGGTACCTATATTAACATTTAGAGAGTGTTTACATGGCAAGTACTGCAGGTGTTCATTTAGAAACTAAGACATTTGTATCTTTCTGTTTAGGGGCCACCAGGACCACCAGGACCCCAAGGGCTACAAGGGCCAAAGGTGATCTTCCTTATTTTACCCATTGTATCTTAAAGATGGAGGTACTTGGGGGGGAAGGGGTGTGGGGGGATGGGTTAATTGATGTGGGCACACAAGTACACAGAGCTTTCCTGTACAGAATACTTAACCATGATTTTACTGAATATGGCGCATTTCACACATTGTGTCCTAGCCTTTTGAAATGTAGCTTTCAGAGTAGGTGCTTTCCACACACAGATGCTCAGCTGAGAACCAGCAAAATTAATGAGTATTAAACAGGGCAGAAACATCTCCCCAATGGCTGTGTACTGAGGCTGTTACCTAGGACTTTGCAAAGTAGCTGCCCAGTCAGACAGTGGCTCATGCATTGCTTCTGGCTGGGTGAGAGTGAGGTAGGCAAAACTGTGGCAGGCACCACTGGCCACAGTATGAGCGCATGTGAATGCAGCTTTTATATGACAGTGGTGCCCACCCAAATAAGTATGGTATTTTCTAATGTCAGGAAAAATTAAAACATGCACATATGGGCAGGAGCCTGGCTGCAAACCCAGGCTTGCTAATCCTACCTGGCTGGTGCTATAACACCAGAAGTGTTACTGAGCAGCCCGCACAGAGACGATGAATACCATATGCCACACTGTTCTATAAAATTTAAATAATAAATTTGCCTATAATAATAATAAAAAAGTCTTGCAGTTAGTGGACCTTCCTTAAATTAGCTGATATAATTCTCCTACTTCTTAAGTACTAAATGTAGCCTATCTTCTGTCAGTGACTCTAGACTTTTCCAGGAGTAAATACATGTTTCTTCAATAACAATACCAGACATTTCAATTTTAAGCTTCATCCATGGTATCATATGGAAATACATCACATTATACGTGCTAATTGTTTGAGAAATTGTGACAAACTAGGTTTATTCTTCTACATGAAAATCAGAAATGGAATACACAGTTAAGTATGCAGAAATGGCTTTCTGCATTAGGATCTACCCCAGGATTTCTGCAGCTTGCAGTATGTTGTAAAACACAGAGGAGTTGGAGTGTGAAAGCAGTTTTGTTCTTTCATATGCATGAGCGTTCTCATTCAAAATTAATGAAGGAGAATTCAACCTTTCCAGGAGTTTGTTTCCACTGTTGTAGTCTCTAGCCAGCAATGTAACTTGTTCCCTTGGAGAATTCTATTCAGGAACCTGTCACAGGGCAATGTTGTGAATGTGAATTCCTTCACTGGATGGATGGTCTATATTAGCCCAGGAAAAAGAACATGAAGTCTCCATCTATCCTACATATTTCAAGAGGCATGATTCTGTATTTATTCCAGTCACTAACAAAGTTTCCATTGGATTGAGGTTTTTTTCACCAAACTTCTGGGGTTTCTTCTTTTTCCTTTCTTTTATGCACTTGTCTGACCTCTGTACAGCCCAAAGTTTGCATCATGGCCTAATCATCGGAGCTATTTATTCAATATGTTGCATTATGTATATGTAATGTATATGTATACATTCTGTTCTTTTTTGACAGAATATTCTCTGGGTTTGTTGTTGTTCTTAATTAAGCTATTTTCCTGCCTCTTTCCTCTAATGTCTGGGATAATTGAAAAAATCCAGTTCTATCTTGTCTTTTTCAGGGTGAACCAGGATCCCCAGGAACTCCAGGAGTTGATGGCGAACAAGTACGTTATGTGTAAATCGTGTAGCAAAGATCATGTCAGAAACATAGGTTATTTCAGTATCTTATTTCTGTGGTCCCAAATTGTATCTTAGATTTCATAATTAAATAATAATGTAGCCATTAATAAAGGTCATTATTATGTTGCGGCATACTATGCAGTCTAATGATGGCTGCATTACTACATATTGATAACAAAGATCAATCCTCAGAGTGATTTATTCTTTTTATTAGGATCAAAGCTAGAATTCTGTTGGTGTCTCAGGTTCTTCACTTATTACTTGCTGAATAAATACATATTTTAGGGTCCTAAAGGCTCAAAAGGCGATACAGGTGATCCTGGAATATCTGGAGAAAAGGGAGGAATTGGACTGCCTGGCCTGCCAGTGAGTATGAAATATTAATTAATTTTACCTAAATACTTGTATTTTTTATCTCTTTCATTATCAGAAATTTCCAACAGTGCTGATAAATTGCACATGGCACAGAAAGCACTGCGGAGGAAAAGTCTGAGGTTGCTCTGCAGCTAATCTAGGAGAAGGTGTAAATTGCCAGAACTTTCCATTCCACTTAGAGTCAAACAAAATATTGCTCTGGGAAAAGAGAGATTAGTTGGCATGCTGATCGGATCTGTACCTCTCTTATAGCACAATTTAGCAAGCATAGCTTGTAGGAGAAAGAAGTTATGTTTTGAACACTTGTCAGAAATTACAAATTATTCAGGTTGAAAAGGGGAAGAAAAAGAATCAGTTATGTATGGGATACATTCTTCCTATTCCTATACATATATTTATGTACAAATTAAGTTTCTCAGTAAAAAATAGTAACGATTACAAAAATGTTTCCATAGTAAAATATATCATGGAGTGCCAGCTTAAGGACTTATAAACATAATGCCCCAACTGACAATATAAAAGCATACTTTTACATTTATTAAGTTATTAATAAAGTAACACCAATTTTTTAAAATGTAATTTCATTATGTGTGCTGTATTATTCTTTTTACAAATTATAATTATTTGCAAATAAATATTACAATTTCTAGTTTGATTGCTAATAAGATTAAAACTGTTCATAAATGCTGTTTTGTAACGATTTTGTAGGGATCCAATGGTATGAAGGGCGAAAAAGGAGATGTTGGTTTGCCTGGTGCCCAGGGTCCTTCAGTAAGTCTTAGTGTGGTGCTCAATGAACATAATAATCCAGCAATGGCTCTCCAGCTTTTGATTCTGAACAATGCTTCATATTCATGACTGATCTTTCCTGACATCCTTGATGGTACCTACACTTAAAATTTCAAAATATTTTTCTCCTTTGAATAATTATTTGCTCTTTTGAAAATCAACAGACTTCTGGTCATAGAGCTAAATACCATTTAAGAAATTCTAAAAGACGTAATCTTGTTCTGTTCTGTTCTCCCATTATAAGCAGCAGTCCTGATCACTTCAGGAAAAGCCTTCTGGCTCCGTAATGAATCAAAAGATAAATGCTTTGCAAAGGAAAATAGAGAGATAAAACTGATGAAAAAACCCCAAACCACCAAATTTCTCTCAACACCTTGTATTCCGGGGTCTTCATAAAGTCCACTGAGAGCCAGACTAGACCGATTTCAATGATGTCAGTAATAGTGGCAGAGACTGGTTTTATAAGACCAGACATTCTCCTGATTTTTCAAAGCACTGTAAAAGCATTTAAAAAGGCAAACAAACGAACACCTAAAAAAACTCCCTAGACAATACCTTTATGATATGGGCGATTAATGTTATGCGGGCACAGCAAGCTAGGAAACCTCAGAGCAGAAGTTAGCTACGACTGCCTTGTCAGTGGTGCCATGCTCTGGGTATTTGGAGCCATAGCTCTGGGGAGGTTAAGCTTTGCCATCGCAGGACATGTTATGCACCCTGTATCTCTGAGTCTCATTCTCTGAAACTAAACTTAATTTGTTCCAGATTTTTTTCAGTTTTTAGTTGAAACAAGGTTTTCAGTTTTCAGGAGATTTCACAGATGGTGAAATATCTGTCTTAGGTTTCAAAGATCACTTTTTTGCCTCTATGGCCATCACCAACAGCTAGTGTAGCAGAGGGGTTGCACATAAGTTTGGAGACACCAGCATCCCTGCCGCACGTTGCAGGTTACAATAACAGCCCTTCAGGATTAAACCCAGGAAGAGAGGTAATATCAAACTATATATCATCATGGAATTGTCTTCCATGGATTTGTTACAAATACAGAAAACCAGCACAGAATATGCATGCAATAATGCTGAGCAATCTGACTACCTATTTTAATGACTTCAGGGAATTCTTAGTACAAGTGGACTAAATGAAATAAAATGAGAGACAAAGGGAAATTTTTTACAAATATACAAAACCCTGGCTTGGATTTAGTATCTTTTCCATTCATCAGTACTGGGGAGGAGTAAAATCACACATCATCTTCTGTTTCAGTACAAAGACAACTAAATAGCACATACTATAAAGTATTAAAAGTTTAAGCATCCCTGCTCAGTACTGTTTGTTTTAGTGAGGGTTTTTTAACCCATTGTGTCTTAAAGTGTACCTTAGACCCTAGGAGTAAGAATCAGGAGACACGCATGATGCCATATACCACAGGTAAATCTGCACTTCAGATATCCTGTCTTCTGAATCAAAATAATTCCCATTTCTAACCCCCTTTCTAGATATGCTCTCAATGTGCACCATTGCATTGTTATGTTTGTAAGCGTGCCAACAGAGGAAGTGTCAGTCTGACATTTGGTATTTGTGAGGGAGGTCTTTACTCTGCATGATCTAATGCCATTGTTTTTTATCTGTAGATGATAGGACCACCGGGACCACCAGGGCCACATGGTCCTCCAGGCCCCATGGTAAGCTTGGGAGGAAGAGCTCTCTTGTCATTTTAATACCTGGTTAGTAAAGTGCTAGGAGAGTTTGTGACCACTACAGAAGGACCTAACTTAGGGCCTTTTCTGCATGTCTTAAAATTCATAGGAACTAGAGAAACAAACTGAAGCTGCCTATGTTAGTATTAACACACTAGTGGTCTGGTTCATTCTATGAATCACATGTTTGCAGTTGCTTTATTGACAGCTGCATTTCATTTGTGAGGACAAAAATACAGGTGCAGCTTGCACCCCTGTAAAGCAACAAACTCTTAAAAATTTGTGGCATATTTTCATAATGAAATAAATATCTTTATTTCTAGGGACCTCATGGACTGCCTGGCCCAAAGGTAAATCAATGGCTGCCTTGAATAGCCATGTTCTTAATGTCTGCAAAGTGTCCTGTTTTGTTCTTTAACTCATGCAGCTATGTTTTGTCTTTTGTCTCATTTAATAAATGTTCTTGATATTCTTAAACCTTAAAGCAGATTTTAATATTAAGATAGCTTAAAAGCTTTTAAAATTTTCCGCGATTGTTTCTGTGTAGTAATTCTCCTAGGGAGTGGCCATTTTTTGCATTAGTATTTGAAATGTGGCACTAAGTTAATGCAATCCTATTTATGGGCAAGTTACCACTGCATTTGCAACTGGAATTACTTTTGAACATAGAAGTATGTTGCATACTCAGGAAATGGAGTCAGATAAGCTTCTTTATTTATATACTTTCACATCTCCTGCTTCTTTCAGTATGAGTGGCCTTTCACCTTCCTAGGGGCCATGTACTTTGCTGACCAGTTCCTTCACACATTATGCAAACTCCCCATTACAAACTCATGTGTGTATTTTCATGTTTTCCAACCTAGAATCCCTGATCAGGCAGGTCTGCAATACAATTCAAACTTTTTCCACAGTACACTGCCTGGAGATACACTGTAGGGACTCTAAGCCCATGAAAATAGATCAGGAGGGAAGCAGGTTTTGGCAAAGTCGGAATATTTTAATTTGTACTGTAATTCAGTAAGCACAAGTAAACTAAAATCTAATGTGACACTATAGCCTAGCATTCACCTAGGGGCAGTGGTGTTCTCAGGCATGATCATTTTAATTCACTGTGGCTTCTTTATCAAATGCACCTTTCTCAAAAAAAGTAAGTAAGTAAGAGGAGGAGGGTGGTTTTGGTTTAGAATTTGGATTTTGTTTGTGTTTTTAAAGTGCAAGACAGAAACTCACAGGTTTGACTCCATATGAGACTGTTAATGTTACCTTGGCGTAAGAAGCCTGACTCATGAATCATTTTTTGACGTCAAGTCTGTTCCATCTTAGCACCAGCCCTGCCTTACATCAGACTTCTGGCCTAAGACTCAGGCTTTTGTGAGATTTCCAGGTCTGTTTCCAAAACTTCAGCATTTTCAGTGCTACTGCTCTAAAAGTCACATTGTGTTGAATAGAAAAAAGCAGAAATGGCTACTTAGGCAGGGTGCAAAGCAGGCAGGCAATATCTGGAGTTACTTAAAGCAGCAGATTTGATTCTACTGAGATTTTTTTTTTTCTTTTTAAATATGAATATGATATAAGGTAACATAATACATCAAAGAGAAATGTAGGAACAAGGCCATGGGGAGCAGTCTGGATGAAATACCCACATATTTCTGTTCCCCAAAAGAAACACGTGTGGTCAGTATTCTTTTTGACCGGGCAGCTCTCATGATAGCGTAGTGTTTCATGATGCAAGAATAATTTACTGGCAGCTCCAAGCCCACCATTATCCTCTTAGTGATGTTTAATGTAATAGGCTATGCAACGTCTAACAATCACAACAAGTGCCATATTTTGTATTTTAAAATTTCTCTGTATGAACACAGAAACTATGGATCTCCTGGATAGCTTGGCATTGTATAACCTATACTGATTCTTTAAACTTGTTACTGTTTAATTACTTGTGCTTAAAGGTTTAAAATATCTTTATGTAAGATTTTGTTGCAAATTCCAGTTTGCTGTAGGAAAAAATATTGCTTCCTTACAAAATCTACTTTTCAGGAGATCCCACTACGGAAACCTGAGGGTTTGAGACTTACTTTTCTGAAAGTTTTCTTTCAGTTTGATTTGTCTGTATTGGAATTTGAGGAAATTCCAAAAACCCGTAAAACTCACACTTAATTCAAACCATCTAACTGTAGTGATAATTATTAGGGAAAAAAAAAAATCAAAAGAATCAGTTAATCATAAATTTCCTGTAGCTTTTTTTCATGCAGATTTTTAATCTCCAGCAGACACCTCCCAAGTGCTTTTGCTCAGTATTGTATCAGTATGTAAATTAACAGTAAGCTGAGAAGGCTGAATTTGTGTCCTTGTTTCAAACTGGAATATGCAACCATTTCTGAGACTGGCTTCTTCTATCCAAGCTTAAGCACCCATTATAGCACCAAAAATATGGCATTTATACTTTTACGTTTAGGGTGAACCAGGGTTAAATGGTCTTAAAGGATTGAAGGGTGAACCAGGTCAAAAGGGTGACAGAGGGCCCCTTGGTCTTCCAGTAAGTAAAAATCCCCAACTACTCAATCTCAGTGCAAATAACAAGCTTCTCTTTCTACTCCTGATGAACAACTCTGATTTACTCAACAGTATACACAGAATATACCATGTCTGAGCAGAGCATGTCTTGTTTTGTTTTAGCCCAGATGTGTGCTATCATCCATAGTAATGACCTGTAACACCCAGTGCTGTCAGGGTTTTTTTGTTATGTGTCAGTTGAATGTGTTCAGTGTCACAGGGATGCTATCACCACCATTACATCATGTTGTTATTTGAGTGTTGTATGGTGTTTGTGTTAAAAAAGGAATCTTCCCTTTTACCCCATCTCCCCAGTTATTCATCCACTGATTGTACTTCTGCAGTTAAAATGGAGAAGTCTAACTGAGGAAAGTTAAAAATTGGTTCAGGGATTTTCTGTTTATTTACTTTCCTCATTCACTAGAGATGGTGGATTGTTACTCTTGTATTGTTCTTTAGAAAATTTCCATTCTGAGTGTTTGGCATAAATTTTGTATTACAAATAAATGAAGGACCTTAAAAATAAATTTTCATGTTTCATGTTCACATTATGATTCTTAAAATTTAGGTTGACAAAACAGAAAAGAGTTTGTGTGTTTGAAAGCACTCTGAAAAGTTAGTTGGTTGGTTTTTTTCCCCACAGAAAGAGTTCAATTTTCCTTTTAGGATTACTCTGTGTGATTACATTCTTAATAACAAAACAGAGGAAAAAGATTTAGTTGACCCAAAGGAACGCAAACCCCTCTGATTAATATTTTCAAGAATTATGTACAGGGTCCCTGGTCAAGGTCAGCTTCACTGAGAATTTTAATTATTTTTTGGGGGAAAAAAAAGAAAATCATTTGCCAGTTACCAGTTACCGTTAAGTAGAGAGGGAGCTGTGCAGGTCTGAGACAACCCCCTGAAAATAACTAAAAGGAAGAAGGACTTTTCAGTTCTGCCAGAAATGTATTTTTCTAACCCAGAACAAACTATTCTATTATTTTTTCAAATTTTCATATTCTTGTCTTGCTCCTTAAGGCTTTTTCTAATCATTTTAGAGAGCAAGGTGTTTGACTTCCTAAAAACGGCTCATTTTAACTGTTAATGAGTTGGGGTTGGGTTTTTTAATTTTGGAGGTTTGGGGGGCTTAGGGATTGGAGTTTTTGGGGCCCAGATTATTTCTAATGTCCCAAATAGTTTTGGTCCCTCTAGTCCCAGCATTACTGCCAGCAGTCTGGGATTGTCGAGATCCTTCGTTGCTCTTCTGTTATTCACATAAAATCCAGCAGAGGTCATCCCGTCCCCAAGGATGCTGGAGCAAATAGCCCGAAGTGCCGGGTGCTGCCCACTTGCAGCCCCTGTGTGTGCTCTAAGCTGGGAACACTTTGGGAAAACAGGAAATGTGATTGTCTCCTGGGATCTTAGAAATGAATGAGGCCATTGTAATCAGGATCCAGATTTTTTTTTGCTGCATGATGCAATATTCTTGCACTTAAATATTTCCTATCATAGTTAGCATATATTTTTCTTTCTTTGTGTAGTATAGGATTCAATGTTGTCATTATTTACAAATTAGAAAGCATGCAAGTAAAGCACAAGGTAAATATTTGTGTGTTAAGGCTCAGAAACACCCTAACATCTGGTGTTTGTAGCACTCCTATAGCTTGACATTATTCTGATCTAATGTACTGTGACGTGAAGGCAAGGGTGGGTCAGAGATGTTACGCTGATGCGAGAACAGAATCAGGCTCTTGATGTCTTATGTGAATTTTTAACTAACATGCTGTAGTAATGTGATACCCATTTCAAAACCCTGTCACAACTTGCACTGTACGTTTGAATTATGTTTATTCATCAGCATCACTTACTAATCTCACGTTCTTGTCATTCGTGTTGTACCCATCATCCATGCTTCCACCTAACCACACAGGGAGCATCTGGCTTAGACGGAAAGCCAGGATCCCGGGTGAGTCCCTTGTCTTTCTGTGTCGCTCTTCATTACAGAGCCTATGTTCTGTCCAGCACCTCACGCACTGCATAGAGGAAGGAAGGCCAAATGCTGCAGGCATTTTTCATGGTGCATAAGAGGGGACTTTGGGCAAACTCTTAGAGTGATACAAGTGGGAAGGAGAATGCAACCCTCTGTAGAAGGAGCTCTGAATCCTAAAAGGCAGTTTGGTTTTGATTTTTGGTTGGACAGCTGCCTTGGTTGGGGTGCTTATTTTCCTGAGTAAGGTTAGGGATTAGTTTACATAGGAAGACATACTTGTTCAATGCTAATATGGAATCAGCAAAACAGATGCAGACGTTCTGTGGCTGGGGTTCTGCCACAGGCACTTTCACATTAAACATAAACATTAAATCATTTGCTTTTAATAATGATAAAGAAATGGATAAAGTGAAAGAGGGATGGAGTTATGCATTTGAAGGCTTCTATAAGGTTCCTATTGATGAGTGCAACAGGTAAGTCCACCATACAGCTAGACATTTTCATTTAAAAAATAATCAATATTAAAACAAAACAAACCAAAGCAAACCCATAACTTTGGCACTTCCGTTTTTCCTGAGAAAATTTTTCAATAAATTTTAAATCTTTGTAAATCTAGTGACTTCCATGAATAAAGGAAAATCCAACTAGAAAAAAGATGGGTTACCTCATAGCCAGAGAGCTTATAGATGGAGTTTTGGAAGACAAATGGATTTGTTTGCCCATGTCCCATCACAGTTAAGTCTGAATTTTCTTCTGGTGAAGACTGATTCCATGTTAGTTCTTGGCTAGAAGACAGTTATTAAAAGTACGGACTTGTAAGAACAAGACCTCTCTTTTAACCTCTATTTCCTTTTGTAGGGTGTAGATGGCCCAGTTGGTCCCCATGGCCCTGCAGGTCCTAAAGGAGAGAGAGTAAGTATATGTTCTATGTGCTTCTCTTTACAAAGCAACCGCTGCCATGGCAAAATGTCATATGGCTGCTTACAGTGTGCCAGGATGTTGTTAAATATAACTGTATCTCCTCTGTTTAAGGATCAGCCCAGAACTGTATGTGCATTCTAGTTACACACATTTATCCGATTAAAGGTTGATTTTGTAACTCATAAACGCCAGAGAAGCTGCTATTTTGTAACGATTAATCCATAAGAAACTTACAGGACTTTCAAGTTCACAGTGCTACACAGAACATCATTTTGGTTGGTTTCATTATGTAGTGTAAGTGGATTGAGAGGACAAAGTGGGACAAAAGAAGATAGTGTGATCTGATTATATATGTATGCAACGGAAAAAAAAAAAAAAGAGTATTTTTCCCAATTTGTACTTAAATATTTTTATCTTAAAAAAATAATTTAAACTTTTCTCCCTCTCCCCTCCTTTTTTTTTTGTTTTTTTTTAGGCTTAGAAGATAGGAGTCCTCCTATTTCACTTGAAATATTCATAGTAATTTTTCTCCAGTGGAAATAGGATAAGGACGTTAATCTTTAACTGTGAGCCTGTCATCTTTAACAATACAACCATCAACTTGTACAACAAAACAAAAGATGATACCTTATACTGACTAAATCCTCCAAGGAGTTGACAGCCTAGAATTATGTCTCTGAATTTCTCACTTAAAAAACAGCTGTGATAAAACAACTTCAGATTGATATATTAAGGATGCAGCCATATGGCACAGGTCCAGTTAGCTTTAATAGTAGTACACCTGAGAAAGGTATGCATGACTTGATGATTCATTTTTAAAGAGCTCTGTGTTGAGAAATATATACAAGACATGCAACACAGTCCAAAACATAAACAGTAGCCTGTAGTCACCACTCAGGCTAGTTAACAGTCTGAAGGTCTTAGGTAAGTCTTTTTTTCAACTAGGACATAACTTTTTCTTCTATCAACTCTGTGAAGATAAAGTTGAACGTCATCTTCTGAACTTTGGGAAATAATTTTGATGGAGAAGCATATATAAATACTGTACTTTTATCCTCAGATCATAAGCTTTTGTCTTGAAGGATATGCATATGTACTACGAGTTGAAATTTATTTCAGAAACGATGTGCTGTAATATAAACTATTCTTCTAATGTATGTAAGAGAACTATAGTAGTGTTTTCCTTATGAAAGTATCCAAGGTCATAGTAAGTCATACACCTGCATCTCGAATCAGCCCTACCATGTCTGTTGACAAATCGTAATTACAAAGGGGACAGGAACTGCAGCAATGTAAATTGGTTCAATAATTGCACAGAGCACAGAGGGTCAGATCTGCAAAACTATGGAAACTAAAGTGTGCAAAAAATTCCTGCTCACCCAGCGTTTTCTGTATAGCTAAATGAATGGGAGGAAGTTCACAAGAAAGATGGAAGGGGTTTTTAACAAGCAACCAACTAGCAAGTTTATTGCTGTAATTGTTCATTTAGTTATTCATTACTGTTTGGGAAGAGAAGTTGTTTGTAGAATAATTATCTAGCAGGTGCCTGGCATTGATATATGTCTCATTATCTAAATAACAAATCATGTGGGTTTAATGCAGGTTTACACCTTGCATTTGCAACTTTTGAATGTGTTTATGTGAATGCAGAAGGAAAACATTTTTGCCTGCAAATTTCAGAAACTGACTTTTAATTAAAAATGGTACATGGTGCCACTGCTTACTGTCACTGGACAAGATCACATTTTGTCCATGCTAATAAGAAAAACCGTGGGCCAATATTAACCTAGAAGGGCACTAGTGATTTCTAATATGAAACATAACCACATTCTTAAAGCCACATTATTTAACATTTGGAAAGGCAATCTCGCTTTAAGAGAATACATGTAAAGTGCTGGTCGCTGTATATTTATGCCTCCTTAAAAGTAAAGGAAAGCAAGTATAATCAAACTGTGCCTACTGATTTCTTTTACAGAAATGAGGCAATGCTGAATTACTCTTCTTAGGTAGAACAGACTGTTGTGCAAATTAGGGTTGTTTGTTTTGTTTCCAATTTAGCTATTTAATTAAAATAGAAAACATTACTGAACCTTTGAACAAAACTTATTTAGATGGTGAAAAAGTAGACCAGAAAAATAATGCTTGTCACTAGAAAATAGAAAACCATGAATTTTAAAACAGATGTGATTAGCTCACTGTCTGAGCTTAACCATGTAATTTTTCCTCTAGACTTTAAACTATTCATTGAGCATTAAAAGCTGACACAGGATTTAACACCTCCCTCCTTAAGCATGATGTTGGTGAACTTTGCAACACTGTGGTTTTGTGCATTTCTTTTGGTAGAAATAGAAATGGCGATTAACCATTTGAATTAATATCATTTATTAGGCTGATCTCTTACAGTCCTTAAATTCTTTGGCTCTTCAGGTTTTACTGAGACCACCTTCATTAAATACAGGAGTTGATCATAATAGGCCTCTGAATCTGGCTGTGTACCTATTAATCTCACTTGTATATTTTCTTGAGAGAAAATTGAGAACATTAGTAAACAGATGAGCATCTTAAACTACTACTAGGGAAAGGGGACATGTAAACCTGAAGGCTAATGAGAGATGTATATCCAAATTCTTGTCTATCTAAAAGAAGCTGAAAGACAAAATTAATACTGATCTCCTGAAACCCTGGCCTTTATTGCAAGGATCTGGTTTTGAGCTTTGTTTTTGGCTCTCAGATGGAACACTGTCATCACTCTGCACGTTCTCTACTGGTAGAGAAAATGCATCCTGTTTAATTTGGTTAAAATGTTTGTCACCATGACAGTGCTATAAAATCCCTGTATCAGTCTTAATGGAGACACAAATTATGCAGCTTTATTCATGCAAATGGTAGTTTGTATCCATCCATGATTCAAGAGACTGAAGTGAAATAGGAGGCAAAACTGAAAGCTATGGTTTCTGTTCCTTGGGCACTGATGAGTTGTCATACAAAAAGATATTAAAAACCGTACTGAAGTTTGCGAATGTCTGTTTCCCTAAAGGAAATGCTTTATCCTGATGGCTGAGGGCAGTATACTTATGACAGTTCATCAATCTTATATAATCCGTATACATTCAGGACCTCATCTGATATTCCAAACACATTTCAGCATATGCTTTGTATTGGAGGCAAAAAAAAATGGGAGATGCATTTCTCTAAATATATTCTTACACAACAGATGAGATTATTTCCTAGACTGGTACATTCAGCATCTTTATGTCCACCATATGTTTAGCAATGTTACAGGCCTATCTTCAGAGAACCCTGTACAGTCATCCTTGCTGTTGGAGATTTTAAAGATACTTAACGAGACTTCACATATCTCAAGTAGTGACCAAACATTTTTGTAGCTGTTACATGCACGGGTCAGCACATCAGTTTCTTCTCAGAATAAAGATTTAAAGCTGCAAGGGATTTACTGTTCTGAAAATCAGCTGTTACTTCCCAATACCTCCTCTTGTTTTGCAAGGGCATCCTACCTAAGTGCTGCTCAGAAATGGCTGGAGATTATCAGAATCCAGAAAGATCAGACATTACACATGTAATCACCACTAGAGTAAAGTGAGCACAGACAGTGTTCACTATATAAAAATGTAAAGTATCTAAAATAGATCAAATGTCAGTTACTTTGTCGAGCTTCTTACTCCTGTGGTTATTCAAAACCAGGTTCAGACTCAGTTTATTCCTGTGCCTGCTTTTTTGTATCATCCAGTCAATAAAATTAAGACTTAGCAGCCCATTTTCAGAGCTGTGCTAAGGGACTTGGCTGTGCCAGTGATCACTGGTATTAATTAGACACACATCTACATCTCTGTCTTACATTTAATAACAGAGTAATGAATTAATAATGACTAGTAAATAATCTAGATTTGTGGAGGATTTTGTACACGACATTATCTCAAGAATTTAAGTGCAGCAACTGCTAGGATGAAAACCAACACTTCTGTAGGGTAGGAGCCTTGAACAACACCTTGCATTAGGTCATGTTAAGGAAAGGAGGTGAAGAAAGTATACAAATAACCCTGTATAACAAATTGAAGGTAGGAGCTTTGAAAATTGGAGGTGGTCAAGACTTTTTTTTTTAATCTCTTCAACATTTGGAGGAATTTAGTTCTCTCAAGAGAGTAGGGCTTTTTGCTGGACTTTATTCAGAAGGTGGCACCACAGTCTTAAACACATACTTATTTACCAACACTGCCACCCTAACAAGCTCACAGAAGGCTGTGCTTGCAGTTACTTGTGCTAATGTTAGCTGACTCAATCTTTATGAAGAACAATTGGAAAGCGCAGATGATTACTACAGTCAGCCTGAAATTTGTTGCCTTGAAATTTTATTTCATTTGGAAAAGTTTGCTCTATATTAAACTTGAAAAATTATTTTGGCAGCATCTCTCTGGAAATTGGCATTTTTTTCCATGGGTTTTTGAGCAAAATGAGATCAAACTTCAAGTACAGAATGAGATCAAACTTCAAGTACAGAATGATCTCTGCACTTGCTTGTCTTGCACATTAATACAGTTTTGATTTCATAAACCAGGGTATTAACATCACTAATCTAGAATCAAACAGAACAGTTAGCAACACAATACAGTGCATGGGATAATCTTCACAATGTCACTGTTGATAGCACTGCCTGCTTAAACACATTTGATTGGCACATTTTTGCCTGTCACTGTGCTGCATCTCAGCTGCTGTGGTGAACCTTGATGCTGCATGTCCTCAGTTTTCATTACAACATTGGCTTTTTATTGAGTTATAAGCTTAAAATTGAAATCAGTGCAAGTTCAGTTTAAAAAATATTTTCAGTTACAAATGTATTTAAAACCAAATATAGTATCATATACCCGAAAAGTTATTTTGCCTCAAAAGTAATACACATCACTTTTGACCCTTAATCATTTAATAAAAGTAAATTAGCTTGGCTGTTTTTCACTGAAAAGGTTTAGGAATGCATAAACTTTAACCTAAAGCACTTGATAGAGATCATTTCTATCTCATTCAGCCAATGTTTTTGTTTGCTTGTTCTGTAATCTTTTCTTAGGGTGAAAAGGGAACCACAGGTGACCCTGGACCCAGAGGACCATACGGCTTGCCTGTAAGTTGCACATAGTTTGTACACATTGTGCTTTTCATCACTCCTTGATTAAACTTTGTGTGCTTTATGACTGCTTTTCACCTAGCAATACAGCTCTTTGGAAAAAGCAAAGATAGATAATAATAATCCCTGACAGTGCAAGCTCACTGGTCTGTATTAGATTCCTGACCATGCACATGGTCATGCAAAAGTAATGAAACAAATCTGACATGAACCAGGAAGAGAGAGGAAATCCAGAATGCAAGTGCTCCTCTTTTGGCACCCTGGGGACCATGTGGCAGCGGCAGGAGTTCCGGATGAACCGCGGAAAGCTGCAGGTTTCTTTATGTCAATAAACTGCTTTGATTTCTGTGCTGCAAAGCTATTTCACCATTATACTTTTGGTTTGTTTGACACTTCAGAGACCAGTTTTGTTTTCATTTCTGTGCCATGTGCTGAGAAGCAATTTGGGAAGTTCATTGTTGATCATTTGTAGGTGGAGATGGTATGCTTTACATCAACCATTTAAAGATTATTATCCATTTCTAAAATATGAGTGAGAGCTTCCTTTGGCCTACAAGGACAGCCCAAATAAAACAGCTGACTTACTCTGTTTACTTTGCTGATGACTGGGTCAGTTGTGTACATATGCACATGCCTGTTCTGTACTTTGACACAAGAAAAGCCATGTAAATGTGCTTAGCCAGGCACAACCAGCCTTTGCAAGAGATTTGCAATGCTTCCATACCCTCTCCAGTCTAATCTGTTTAATTAATTAAAGATGGGATACAAATTTGTGGTTTAATTGGATCCGTTTAATTGGATCCATTTAATTGTATCAGGAGTCAATGAAAATTGGACAATGAAAAGGATAGTTTTCAGGCTCCATGGAGTGTTAAATTAGCTTGAGAGCATGTTCATCTGAGGGTCACTTTTGTGAGTTAAATAAAAACACAGTTTCTGTTTCCCTTTCCTGTGAACTAAAAATTAAACATAATATTTCATAATAGGCTTTTCTGTATTTTTATCTTGCTCCTGTAATCTGCATACAAAAAAAACTTTTACAGTCAAGCAAAATTTTACAGTCAAGTTATCAGTTCCTCAAAATGTTAAACACTGGCAGAAATGTCCTTCACTAACAGCCTTAGCATCATGGGGTACTGCTGTACAGAGGGAGCACAGAAGTCAGGCATCAAGGCAGCCATTGGTATCATAGTTTAGGGACACTAACATAGTTTATATGGTTCTTTGGCAGGGTAAAGATGGAGAGCCTGGCATTGATGTAAGTAATACGTATGATCAATACACTCACAATGGTAGGTAAGCATCTTTCAAGGAATAGCTTACTGAGCGTATCAACTTTGTTTCCATCTAGTGTGCATGCAGTACATAGAGTGTGCTAAATCAGCATTTGCTCTTTCTCTCTGATAAACAAAGATTATGCAATATACAGCCCTAATTGACAGACATCACCAGATACAGTGCTTAATAACACAAATAGGTGGTACTTTAGTAGTCAGTAGGCTGAAAAAACTGCACTTGGTAAAAAATATTCAGAATATTTGATTAAGTAAATTTATCCTAATTAAAGAGAATAATTCCATAACCTGTAAGTGATGTATTTCTTTCTTTGGCATGCTAAAAGGACTTACTGAAAGCCATTTCCTCTCGTCCTACACTGAAAGCCCTAGCTTGGAAGAGTCTTTTCCCGAATGTAGATATGCTATGTTGCATGGACTGTTGCCATTTTGAGTTACATTTCTTTCCATTGCTGACAAAATTACCAAATATTACGACTTGTCTTGCATACTCTTGTGTCCATGCATGCGTGCACACATAACACATATACATGTATACAGCATGTAGTGAAATCATCTCTTTTTTATATTTTCCAAGAGTATTTGAAAGCTTAACCTGCATGTGAATAAAAGTAGACCTGTCTTTGTCCATTTTGTTTTTATAGGGTTTCCCTGGTCCTCGAGGAGAAAAGGGTGATATAGGAGAAAAGGGAGAAAAGGTGACCAGTGTTAACTGTTTCTTGATTCCTCAGCCTAGTCACCTCCGCTGTCTTTATGCTATAAATTGTCCCATTAAAACTTATCTTTGTTTTTACTGTGTGCCAAAAGGCAGGTCACAGGTAGATGCTGAGCAAAATCATGAACAACCACAAAAATTTATGCACAGAACTAGTAATATCAACAAGCTGCTCCTGGGAGGTTCAGACTGGCTATTAGGAAAACCTTCTCCATTAGGAGGGCACTGGGACAGTTTACCCAGAGAGGTGGCTGAATCCACTGCAGTACCTGGTCTGGTCTGAAATAATGTAGGGTCGAATCCTGCTCAGGGTGGGAGGTTAGACCAGGCAACCCACAGAAGTCCCTTCCAATCAGACCTTCTGATTCTGTGTTTCCATGTGCAGCTAGAGATAAGTAGACAAAATACAGCCATCAGATTCTTAGAAGATCTCTGGAAGAAAATGTGGAAAGATAGTAAAACAGTTGGCTTACATAAATACATCATGTGAAAATGGGCAGCTCAGATTCTCACACTCAGGATGTAAAAACTAAATTTTAATCTCCTAGAGTCCAGCATGCTGCTTTTGCGTATTAGCTCATTATTCCCAGAGACTGACTGAATACCTCAAACACGGAACCTCCAGCTGCAAAAGAGCAAGGAAATCATGTGAGGAATGGTGTGTAGCCACAGACACAGTTAGATCTTTCTGGAGTCTGGTTGCAATTCAGGCTGCCAGTGTAGCCCTGTTCTCTTGGACTGTAAGACACATCTAGGAAATCTAGTGCTCCAACCCCCTAAAAATTAATGAGAAGGCAACACCTGTTTCTTGAGGAGAATGTATGGGATAAAGTACTTAACAAGTCTGACAGATATGTCAGAAACCACGTTATCTTATAGGCTTTTGGATTAAAAGGATTGCCAGGAAGTCTGTAGATTGAGAGCGGAGATGGAATCTCTGTCTTAAAAATTCTCAGACCATTCGAAGAAAATTAGAAGGCAAAGGAAGGTCTTTCTCAGTGAAAAATCAGGGAAGGTATAGCTGAGACTTCTGTCAAAGAAGCTTCTGTTGCACAGGTTTGATAGTTTTCCAGAAATGAGGGAATACTTGTATCTTGCTGCATCAATAGTTCCTTTTCCAAATGGAAGGCTGACTTTCGGAAGACAAAGTAATGCAATTAATGGAAGGTTTTGTTATAACAAATTTTCTCAGTTCTGATGTTTTTCTTTATGTAAGTTACTAATTATTTTTTACCAAATTGGTGTAGCAGCACCCATTTCATTAGAGATAAACCAGTTTACAAGTTGAGGGTCTAGCTCATGTTTTCTTGGTTTTTAAATATCCCTTACAGCATTATCTTAGGCTGACATTGTACACATTGAGATTAGCAAGTTTCTGCTTAAGAAATTTAAATTGTATTGCAAAAATATACATCATTACTAACATTCTGCTGAGGATCAGATGCTTGTTTTGTTCATAGACATGCTATGATAGGCAGGGAGTAAAACTTTATTTCTTCAGTTTCAGATGACTGCTAGACTGATGATTTTGGTTTTAGCATGTCAGTAGTTGTGCTACAGTGAAAGTCAGTCAGTGTTTGCATTATAATGTCTGCTTAACTTGGCTGTAAAAATAATTTGTAAAAGTGTTCTAACCCTTAATTAGTCATTTAAAAATACAGTTCAGGAGCTCTAAGCACGAAAAAGGTTTGTACAATTGATTGTGTATTTTCGAGCTACATGAAAAAAAGAACAAAAAAAACCCTCTTAGAAATGAAAAACTTTTAAGAAATGGTAGAGATTGTGTTATGGGGAGAGGGAGGGAAGGGGACCCTGATCCTAAATGTGCAGTCGTGTTTCTTGTTGACAGAAGAGTATGATGTGTTACAACAGGGGCTGAAAAGGCATCATCTTTTCCCCCCTACACTCTACATTGAGGAAAATCTCTGCATGTGATGACTGGAGATGCTCCAACCTGTTGTGGTTTAAGCCCAGGCAGAAACTCAGAACCATGCAGCCGTTTGCTCACCTTCATCACATGTAGATTCTCCATAACTCCTGTGCACCTCAGTAGTTCAGAGTAATAAGGTGAAGATTAAGAGACAAGAACTCAGTGTGGCAGAAAGTAGTAAAGTACTCAGAAAATCCAGACTTTTCTCTACACAGATGACTGCTGCATTGGTCTGAATAAGATCATAGATTTGCCTTGCGAAACTGGATGTTTAAATAGCTATCTGATGGCTTGTAACACGACAGAGAAATACAAGTCCTAAGAACATAAAAAAGGTAGAAACCGAACTGTACTGTTCATTTTCAGAATCATTTTGGAGTGTGTTCGTGCTCTGTGCTTGCGTGTACTCAGAGCAAATACATTGGTGTTACATCGAGCACAAATAACATGAGATTTGACCCTGAAACTGTTGGGCATCTGTGCTATGCTGTTGTGTTTCTAAAGGTTTAAGATGAAAACTTAGCCAACACACGGTTCCTGACATGTAGGGCTTTTTATTACATCGCAATCTTATAATTTGGTAAAGAAGGGTAATGTTTGAGTTGATGTTTCCCTAAATATTACTCTGTGACTTTTTGGCACACAGAAAAGATAGCTAGGAAACTTTGCTTTCATAGTGTCATGAATGCAGTATGTTTTGTTCATGGAAAAGATTTTTTCATTTGAATGTGTTGAGTATGCTATGAAATTAAACGAATAATGTGCTTTCTTTCCTTTTTTAAATATGATATAACTATTTTTTAATTGTGTAAAATGGTTTTTGTCTCTTGTTAATGGATTAGTTTTCATACTGGTGTGGAACTAGTTAAATGTCTATTTACTATGCTTTACCAAAATCTGTCTCTCCTTCCGAAGGGGCATTCCTTCCTTCTCCTTCTACCTCCATTCCTTACAATTCCTCTGTCTTTTTTACCCTTTTCCTCACAAAATAAATCCACCCAATAGCCACAGCCTCCCTTGCTGGTTCTCCAATGTCATACTAATTTTCCTGTGACTATTTTTCCCATTTCTTTGTGATATTCCTGATTTACGCATCCTTCCTATCCCATTTTTTTACAATCCTAGTCCAATTTGTTTAATTTTTTTTAACAGAACCTTTTTTGATTTTTATGAAATTGAGAGCAATCCTGAAACTCATTTACCATTGTGATAACTGGTGTGAAATCAATTATAAAATGAACTCTGTGAACATCTTATACTGCTTGAAGGTGAGGTTATCTTTGCAGGTAGCTTTGTTGAGGGGAGTCTACTCATTTCTATGAGTAATTAAAGCACTAGAAGTTTTACATATGAAAGGAAAAGTCAATGTGAAATCAAAGGACTGAATTTCAGTAAAATAAGTAGATGGAATGTTGCCTGCAGTAGAGAGAACATTTAAAATTTGGAATGTTTAAATAAAGAATCTAATTGTCACTTATTACTTTGATACCAATGCATTATAAAATCATTGAAAGTGTCATAGCACATCTCTCCATCAAGCAGTTCAAATGTTTTGATTCCTGTAACAGGGTTTGAAATGGTCGTGTTGTATTTGGAATGACAGGAGTGCACCCTCAGTGGTGTCTGTGTGTTTCTGTGGACACCACTGAGAACAGGATTTGTCCCGAACTCATACCAGAGTGAAAAAGGTCAGTTCTGCAAAAAGTGCTTCTGGCTAAGTTTACCCTTAACATGACGCTTTGGAAATTGATAGAATTTAGCCAGAGACCAGCCATCCCTGCGAAGCATCCATGCCACAGGTCTTTTTTAGAGAGACGATGCTGATGTACTCTGCTCTCATAAACTTCTGACCAGTGACAAATTTTGTTGGGAAGCTGACAAATTCAGCTTAGTGTCCATGTGCACTTCAGTACTACCTCTTAGGACAAACAGAGGAGCTCTTGTTTCAGACTGTAGATTGGGAAGATTTGCAGATTTGCCTCTGTCTCAAGAAACTGATGATTTCAAGCCCTGTTCTAAGATTCAAAACATTCATAATGCTGATGTACCAACACAAACTAATACCTACCGATTGCAGTTCTTGCTTGTGATTATATAATTTATTTTTCCACATAATGCACCATCCAAACCAGAACACAGTGGTAAGTGTCCTTTCAGCTCTCCATTGTCTTATAAAGATAAACCAAAACTTTTAAACCAATCTTTCTTTAATTTTTTTTCCAAAAGAATGAAACTTGTTTTATCCAACCCATTGTATCCACAGGGGGAAAAGGGAAAGAAAGGCAAAAAGGGGCCTAAAGGGGAGAAAGGAGAACAGGGTGCTCCTGGATTAGATGCACCTTGCCCATTGGTACGTCTCACATCTGTATTGGACAATCAGTTGTCCTGCTGTAGACTGATGGAATAAAAATGATGGGAGAGGAGCAAGCTGCAATTACTGTATCACCTGCTGCCCTTTGTTAACGCAGCCTGATCTCAAGTTCTGGCAAATTCTGGAGCAGACTTTGTTTGTCAACATCCTAACTTGGTTTAAAGCACTAGACTTCAGACCTTCAGGACAAATTTGTGGGGTTTACTGGTGTTTATTTTCTGCCAAACATGTTAGAAAGGAGACAAGCATCGGATGTGCCAAATTCAGTGCCCCATAGGTTGAAATCACGCCATGATGGTCAGCTTGCTCCTCTTGCCTCTCTACTGTTATTTGTTCACTCCAGATAAGTCAATACTGAAGGTATTTTCTTGATAGTAACATTGCAAGTTAATCTTTACAAACAGGGATTCCGTGGAATTAAGGGGGAAAAAGGGGAGCCAGGCCAGCCTGGCCTGGATGGGCTGGATGCCCCTTGCCAATTGGTACAGTATTTCTCTTTCCTACCAACCCTGCATGCAGTTCCTTTGTTTGTAGTCAGCCATTCTCAATGTAATGTTTTTCTGAGCTGACCATACATTATTCACCTAACACATGCATGTGCACGGACAAACCAGCTGCTTCAGTGATCATAACTGCAATCAAAGAACACACTTTTTTTTTGTTGACACCTCAAGCCTAACTCTCAACAGTTTGCTCCCACATCACATGGCAATTTATAAGTTTGTGTCCTTCCTACATTTTCCCTGAGATTCACTGGTTTGTTATTTTCCCTCACAGAGTACCTGTTGCCTTACTCACCCTAAATGCAAGTCTTTGTAGAAACCCAGCACAATCTCCACTTCTAATCAAGTCTGATGACTTCTGTCTGCACTGGCTTAGTTCTTCACCTTAGCCTGGTCCCATAGCTACCCTGCACCCTGGACTTCCTTTCAAATCCATGCAGTCTTAGGCGCATGTTTTCATGATTTGGTCAAAATGAGAGTACAAAATGATGTTATTTCTAAAAATCAAGTCACAGGTTTCCAGTAAGCCAAGCTGGAGCCTGATTACCAGACCTTACACGAGTAATATTTTTTAGTGTCTGGCCTGTTAATCAAATAGTTTTCAAACAGATCTGGAAATAAAAAACTTACCTGAGGTTCATAAGAAGATAACAGTCTGCAGCCCACACCCTCACTGTCTTTGTTACTTAACGTCTTCAATTTAATGGTCTTACCCCTGGAACTTACCTTCCTGGAATACACAAAACACTCCCTACCCTATGTTAGCATGAATTCAAATTCCCACCTATACTAAAATGTTACCTGTTGACCCTTTCCCTTGTACCAATATGGCAACAGTGATTTTTATTTAATGGCAAAGTAAGCTTCAATTATTTTCCTTACTTTTTTCTAATAAAAAAAAAAGAACAGAACATACACATCTAAAGATACAAGGAAGATTTTCTTTTGAATTGTTAGCAGTAAAATTTGATCTGCATGTTCTGATACTGTTTGGTGGTTAAGCACGGCTCTTTAAGATGAATGTTAAGTCAAGTAGATTTATTTTCAATTATAGCACTTCTAATTTGATGTTAATGAATTTTAATCTTAAATACATAGTCCATGAAGATTATTCCATAGCCCATTTTGTTTGCTTCCAATTAATGGTAACCATATTTCATATTTTGTTGGGGATAATCAAGCATGCTTTTGCAATTTAAAAATGTTTCTCTGGCTCTGTATTATCATTTCTATCTGGAGATTCACTAACAATCATTGATAGATGAAAAATATTCTGTTCATAGGTAATGACTAGAATAAACTGCTAAGAAAATTTCACTGTTTCTTGCTTTAGGCAGTAAGCTGTTTCCATCATATTGCATAGAATCATAGAATAGCAGGTGCATTCAAAAATTCTCATGAACCACTATATTCACATGTAAATTCACATAATAAGTATTGTTATTTTTTTTATTGTTATATATTGTTCTATAGTCTAAAGAAATGTAAAGGCCAGATTTTTTTTTTCTGCTCATGTGTAGTCTAGTTACATCATACGTGCTCCTAATTCTGAGCATATAACTCTCTGGATAAACCCTGTATAGCCGTATAGATTGGAATTAGTTCCATGAAAATAAGTATGACTGTGGTCAAAAGTTCACTCTGATCTTACTGGATGCGTAGAGATATGTGAAAGTAGGGTGGTGACAGAAAAATGGAGTGACTCTCACTAACGTAAGAAAAAATTAGATGGCTATATTGTCCAAGTGATAAAATTATCAGCGCTGCTGTACTGCCCTGAGCCCAGCGCTGTTTTCTTCCACTTTGTCACTTGAGGTAGGTTCAGGCCTTAAGATTTTGCTACTTCAGTCAAAAGCTAAGCATGAAAGTGAACAGAAAATATTCTACTCAAATATGAGTCGTCTTGTCTTATCATTGGGTTTACTTTGTACGAGGGGCACATTAAGTACAGATTTTAAACACAAATACCCTCCAGATAAAAGTGATAATATTTTGTTGCTCATTGATTTTTACAGTCAGTTACAGTTGTTCTGAATAACAAATTATATTTATTATATTTTATTATATATTTTAAATAATATGCAGTCTGAGCTCTAACAGCAATAAGAAACCAATGAAGATATTCTAATGATTTAGGGAAAAAAAAAATCACTATGCAGAGGGGCCCATGTATGTATTTACAGTGTAAACTGGCTTTTCTTTCACCTTGAGAACAAGAAAGTAAATCAGAAACTGGTAGCTACTTATCAGCTAGAAACTCAGAGCTGCTTTAGCTGCTCTAACAGATATTGAAGAAATATCTATCCTATCAAACTTAACTATGCTCTCTCTATTTTTTGTTTTTCTTTACTTGCTCCCCTTGAAACAGGGTCCCGATGGATTACCAATGCCTGGCTGTTGGCAAAAGGTAGGATGGGCAGAGCTTTTATTTTTCAGGGGCAGTACCTCTTTGGCACTCAGAAAAGCCTGTCACAGTCATACTGAACACAATCAGGGTATACTTCAAAGCTTCTTAGACAGATATATGCAGCAATGCAAAATAAGACCTCCCATGACAGTAGCTGGCATGATGAGGTAGTAATATATATGTAGAAGTAATAACATTGATGCAGCATTGTAGAAATAGTTGGCTTTAGATTTCTGGAAAGTCCAAGACTTTTCTGCTTCATATGAAGACTCACACATCCTTTGACTTCTGCACATGACCCCTGCTTACCATTCTTTATAAAAGCTCATGGGCACTTTTATCAAATATTTATCTTGACCTTATATGATATCAGTTTGCTGAGATACCTAGAAGAGCAGTGCATCCTGCCCTTCTTTTTTCCCTACCTTTCTATTCTTCAATAAATACTCCTGGCTGTCATGTTCTGTGCTAATATTAACTGGCAACATTATTTTAGTAAAGACTTCACCTAGCCAGTGCTAGATCTAAAACCATAGCATTCAGAATAATGTAGGTGGAGGGATACTGGCTGTAATACATTAGAAAACAGAAAGCGTAAGTGAAACCCTGGGTGCATTTATCTCTGAAGAATAGCTGATGCTGAGGAAACAACTATCCATATTATTTGTAATTTTGCCGTATATTTGGAATAGATACCTGAAATATCGATTTACTAATTGGATTAATCTGTATCTTTTTTTTTGTCTCTGCAGTGATGAATCTAACCATACAAGCATGAAGTTGTGTATATAGTGCTCCACTTTTTGTATTTATAGTTGAAAACTGAAAATTTTATTTTACAAGTCTGAGATATGTTTACATGTAGCTGCTTTTACTTGTTTGCAATAGTCTGTGTGTACATCTGGTTTTCACTTACATCTGCGGTTAGATGATATATAACTGCAGGGTAAACCTGCAAAGATTCTCTCTTATATTAGAGAGAGATCTCAATACAATGATCCATAATAGAAATCTGATTATTTCTGTAAATTCTTATATTTTGGCTTATGGACCTGCATGGACAATGAGTGCCATGAGCTAGTTTACAAGAAATTGTGACCAAATAAGAGCAAAATGCTACAAAATGTACTGTACCAGCTGCCATTGAAGTTTACTGACTTGGCTTCCATGTCCATCTTAAATACTTCACTGATTCATGCCCCATCTGCTTGTACAGACTAAAAGCATGAGTTTGTGTGCCAAACCTGCTTGTTGTGTGATCACATTATGTACTAAATGGCTGCTCACGGTGACCTTTGATTCCAGTTTCTGAATCATTTCCTCTTGTCATCCCAAGGGAGTCACACCATGGCTTATTGCTAAAAAGAGATAAACCAGAGGAGGATAGAAAGAGGCCTTGAATTTTTGGATAATAGAGTTCCAGCTGCAGGTGGATGGCTTCCAGTCTTGCGGGTTACTTGGCCCCTTTGATCAAAGGGGGTCCCGCCTGTTAATCAGCATCAGTTTGCCTTGCACTGCTCGCGGTCGTGAAGACATTCACGACAGGCCCTGTCAAGTCCTTAATCAAGAAGGAAAGAAGTTTGAAGAAGAAACCAGACTTCTCTGTGGGTTGTTTGAAAAGGTTACAGTGGTGCTGCAGGGATCCCTTCTCCATGGCAGACACCGCCTGAGGCCAGAAGCTTCTCAACCTTACCCAAGGATGGACAGAATATGTGCTCTGCATATTGTATTTTGGGACTGCTGGAGGAAACAGCATTCTTGAGGCGAGGATGAATCAGAACATCCTCCAGTGGAGAAGGATAAAGGAACTGATCAGAGACATATGTACCATGGTTTGATTTTCAGGTGATTCAGTTTAAATTACATAAAACTAGCAGAACTTCTCTGCAGAATTTTGGAAGCTATGGTTAATTTTGTTTCCTTTTCCCGTAACTGTTGCCGTAAAGGATGCATTTCAATAATCTGTTCAACATTTGTGATGTTGGCATTGAAGAAAATACTTCAAGCCAGACATGCATCTTGTTTCAGTATTAAGTTTTTATTTTAGAGTCTTTGAAGCCTTTAAGTCTACAAAAAAAAAAAAAAAAAAGTTTATTTTTGTGTTTCACAAATTGATTTATATTCATAATTGATCTTGTTCTTTTTCTGCTGTTACAGTGACTTTACTGGACATTATTATTCAAAAAACATTGGAGAAACAAGTCTGTGTGATTACCACTGCACGCTTGTTACCGCACTACACTGTTAAAGGTGTCGGTATTTCTCCGTTTCTGTTCAGATGACTAGCTTTCTAGGCAAACATGGGCAACGTTTTGCTTTTCCACTTTTTTATTGTTAGAAATACTGAATTTGTGCACATTTGTAGTTTTTGCCATGAGATATTTCTTCCAGTTTTGAGTCTTCATATGGTGCACTGTAGTTAGCTTGAGAGGCTAGGTCATGAGAAAGGGTGCCATATTTGGCACATGGAAGTTCTTTTTATAGCACTCCCATTCCTAGTGTATATAGCAGGATGATCACAAACTTTTTTAGTTATGTTTCTGAGAGTTGTTTTTCATACACAGACCAAAACTAAAGTTGAAGAAGACAACCTGTGTCCATCCATGTGTGGGCACCTTACCCTTCTTGGAATGCATGTTTTTGCTTACTCCATCATTTCTAAATCATGTGAAGATGGAGACCTGGTGTGGTTGCACTTTTCATATTGATCCACAATCTCAGATCAATGGAAAAGCCACTATAATGCCATCTTTCACTTTGCTAAATCTTTATTGTCATTTTGCTGTATCAGAGACAAAAAGGGCTTTTCAAGAGGGGAAACCTTCCACAGATTTTTTTTAAACTAAAAATTAATTTTGTGGCCTCCTTCTGGTAATACCTTACTAATACAAAGTTCCAACAGTATATAATGTATATATACTGAATATATATATATTCACTGCTTATATCCATCTTTCCAATACTAAGAAATAAACAAGTGTTCACAGATATAAGGGAAAATGGTTTTATTTGCTTACATTTTCAGAGATGCAAGTATTGACCTGTTTGAATAATCATTGCTGCAATAGTGAAAGCCTTCACATGGCATAGACTGAATATAAGGTGTTAATAATCAGAGTGCTACAGCAGTAATGTATATGAGGAACTTTCCAGAAAAGACACAAGAGGAGAACCACATAAGCCCTTCAACTTGACAGTTTTAGTCTGCTTATTTAAGAAGCACTATCCCAAAATCCAACAGGCTGAGGAGCAAGCTACCCGCCTAAAAAAGTGTTTCTTATGCCTATACTCTGACTTGGTACATTTGGCTGGGTATATTACAGATGTGAATACTAGAAGTTGAATATTTTTTATGAAATAGTGAATACTGGCAATCATACAGTAAGATGAAATATTTTTTTAATTAGCCCTCAGAGTATTCAAATGCTAAATCAAGTAGGATGTTTCTTATCTGGTTAGATGCTTTAGCAGTTCCATATCAAGACTGTGCAAAAACACAGGTTATTTAGGAAAGAGCAACAAGATAAAGAGCCATTAAATGCACACTGTCATCAGCACTCTCATTTTTTAAATTTATATATCTGTATTTTTAAACTGCCCTCATTGCATCCATTTCTGTATGCATCAATAAAGCTGCAGAATCTTGATTCATTTCCTCATTCAGAAAATATTTATAGACATTGCTGCTAAGCATTAGTCAAAACTCAATTTTCCTTTAACTCCCTGACACTGAGACCCTGCTGAAGAAACACTTCAGCACCTTTACTCACTTTCTTTTCAGTCTTGCAATTTCTTTATTTAATTCCCACCAGGAAGGAATACATTTTTTTTCCCAAAAAATAATCTAACTTATATTTTTAAGCTTCTGTGTTTTTCAATATCATCAAAGATTCATTCCATTTAAATGACCATGGGTGAACAGGAAATAAACAATTTAATTTTACATAAACCAATTGATTTGACATTAAACTACATATATAGATTTGACATTAATATTTGCATCTCAAAGATTGACTTGAAACCTAACAGTATGTAGGTAAGTTGCATGTTCAGGACAAGGGGAAAAATAATGCATTGTGTTTAATATTTAATCAAGAAAAGCACCCTGTGAAGACTTGCAATGTTTATTTTGTTTAAAAAAGTACTATTTTTGGTGCTAGTATACCTTTTTTCTTTCAATGGCAAAGCTATAGTTTGAACCACCTGTGTGTTATATCTTTTAGTAGCATTCCTCCAGATAGATATGATTTGTTTTGTTTAGTTTGTGACAGGAACAGTAGTTCCTCTACCAGTCCTTTCAGTTGTAGAAATCTGTAGTGGTATTGGTCTACACTGTTTCTGTATCCCTGACCTTTTCAGGTATGATTAATTCTTGTTCTTTTGAGAGTTTTCAGTATTTGTTTCACAGCAGGTTTTGTAATCATCTGTTACTCCAGTGTATTATAACCACATTGTGCAGAAGTCCTGTTACAGAAGCAGCAAGTCTTTAAAGCACTGTATGGAATATGTCTGACATACATGGTCCTTATGTTCATATTCATAGATTAGCTATGAGGAAGCTTTCTTTCAGGATGCTTTGGACACCTTTGTATTTTTTTTCCTGAGGTAAAGCATGAAACGTTAATTCATGCAACAATGTATTGTTTTGATTTATATTTTTATTTATTACTGAATTTGATGTCACATTCTGATAGTGTAGCAAGGCAGAATGACACTCTTCATCCAGCTGTTTATATTTTTAGTCTACCATGTAAGTTGTATGAATGAGTTTCAGAATGATCAAATCCATATACCTGCACATGTGTAAAGTATAGAGTTTTAAAAGGGATAATTCTTAAGATTACTGTACAGTGTGAAAAGTTAGCAGTGGCTCCACTGAGCATTACACTCATGGAAGAGTGCATGTGAGCACCAGTTACTCTCTTAAGCCAGCAGAAGAGACAATGCAACCCCAAATGAGATGAGCAGACCTTTGGTCCTTGTGGCCAGATGATGCTGCATAGGGCTGGAGGCCACATCAGGAGATGTGGTTTGGATCCTGGAACCCTGGGCTCTTCACTTGGCTGCACCTCCCTTTCCCCAGCAGGAAAATGGGATGAGTGATGCATTCTTCCTTTGCAAAGCAATTTGATACATGCATAAGGAAGGACCTAGTTATTGATGCTTAGTAACCAGGAGAATATCATCAACTTTAACAGTGGGGTTTGATTGAATCAAGACCACTTTAGTGAGTAGAAACTGCAGAGATACTCCCAGTCTATTGAATGTAATGAAGATGTTCAAGCCATGCAGCAGTTGACCTTTCCTTTCAAATTTCCTCATCACTGCTGCTTGACCATCTTAAATTACATTTTTAAATCTCTGTATTTTACCTAATGAGACACATAAATTTTCACACTGGAGAGTTACACAAACCACTAATATCTGCAAAGGTAGTGGTGAAAAGGAAGCCTACATTTTAGTCATTGCAAAAAAAAATTATTTGATTTCAGTGACCAGAATTAAAACTAACACCTGTTGGTTTTTTGTGGTTTTTTTTTTCTGCAACTTCCTTTTATGGATCTGAATGTTGCTATGATGAACAAATGAAGATTTTCTTGCACCCTCTGTACTGAAGTATTTTACGTGGTGGTTGGATTCATTAAATGCTGTTAGATACAAGTGCCTGCCACCATCATTTCTGACAGAATTTCAAGAAGATGCTACACAGAGCAAGTGGAGTTTGTATTAAAAAAAAAAAAAAAAAGAAAAGGATTTGAAGTGTTGGGTTTTTTTTTGTTTTTAAATGCATCCAATTATCAGTGCTGCTTGGAAATCTAATTTTCTTTGGAAAACAGGGGGCCTTAACTTAACCTGGGACCGTTAGCGTTTTACTTGTTTCTATTTAAAAAGAGAAATTGTATGAATTTCCCAGATACCATTGGTACTTGCACACTTCTCTGAAGTATTATAAGGAGTTGAGTTGGTGGAAGAATGTTTTACATATTGTTAACATATATGTGGATATTCTTATATTATTGTACATGTTTGGGAAAATATCACACAACTTTAAAAATGTTACTAAGATGTATGTATCTGACTTTTTCCTTTGGAAAATATTATATATTTTTATTTGTATTTTTTACTTTTTTAAGTTCATCTATATGTGCTGTTATTTTTGTATTGCAAATGGTCTCATAAGTGCAGTAGAAGAGATAAAAATACAAAGGAAAGTAATTTGGTAAGGATTACAATGCTTGGGGGGAAAAACACATGGGTCAGTATCATAATATCAACACTAGAAATATTTTGAGTTTCTTAGCGCTGTAAATATGTCACGAGACCTCTTGACAAGTAGTGTAAAGAATTACAAGGTTTTAATCAGCCATTTTAATTTGTTATTAATTACCACTTTCCTGCAGCCTCTGGTCTTGGCTTAATTGAACCCAATCAAACATCATGCTTTTTTGGTTTTATTATTAAAATCTCTCCTTGTTTTTTGATTGAATACTGTTTTGTTTTCTTTCAGTTTTGTACTTCAGGTTTTGTTTCTTGCTTGTGAGAAGTTGATCTTCAGAATTATTTTTACACTATTTATGATTTATTTTCATAATGTAAAAAGTGTGTAATTATTAAAATATTAATCCAACCACTGGTGCTGATTTTGCATAGTTATAAAGTTCTTAGTGTTGGTGCAAAACATTGCTCTAGTCTGTCCGGATCGGAAGAATTTTATGCTGCATTGTGCCAATCTGTAGTTTGAAATCTCGTACAGGTCGTTTCAATCAGTATTTGCATTCACACAAAAATCAGGGCCTTTGCAACATGTTCCATTTTCCTATAGTGTGCAATAAAAAAATCCCCATGTTGTTTAACCCTTTAAAGTTGAGTCCATTCAGTCTTCTTTTTTTCTAGGCACGCAGAACAGCCTATGGACATCCACAAAAGGATGTAAGGAAAACATTTTGCTGCAAATATTAGAGCTTTTCCTGGCTCTGGAAAAGCTGCAAGGATTTATGTACTAACCAGAAAGAGGAACTATTGCTTAGACAAGTCCATACATACTAGGATCAAAATAAATAAGCTGAAAATCACCAATCTCCCACTTCTGTAATACTGAAGGTGAAAAATAAACCTGAACTGCCGAGGAATAAACATGTGCCCAGACAATGTTAAGTACCAGTGCAGGCTAGAAAATGTGAGGGTCTGTTTTACCACAAATCCAGTTTCTTCATACAAGATGGAAGATAATAATTATTGCAAAATGGCATATTGTCAACACCCTGGTCTAAGAGCACACATTTTTGCAGGAATCTCCTTGAACAAAGGAGGGTTTTTTTGAAAAAAAAAAAAAAAAAAAAAAAAGGAAGATTGGACAGCAGCTGTAATCACTTCAAAGCATTATTTAAATGTTTGGGGTTTCTAAGTCCCAAAATATTTCAGACAAACAAAACACTCCCCATTGTTTCCCCTTCCTTCACCTCAAAGAAATGTAGTCACCCTAGGCTAAGAGAATAAGCACTGGGAGGGTTTGACCTCTATTTTTAACTCTTAATTACTCTTAATCTCCATAGATGTCCATCAATCTTATCTAGCTTTGTTTTAGACTCTTGGGGGGACTAAAAATAGCTTTGCTCCCTTTCCTAGATGAGATACTTACAGCTTAACTTGCCCAGCATCCCCAAGGAAGCACCCAGCAATGCCTACTACAGCTGCTCTATGCCATGCTTCACGTGCAGTTAGCTACAGCTAACTGTCCATAGGTTTCCCATTCAGTCCTTTCACTGCCTGTAAAGTCAAACCTCAGCTAACCAACACCATATAGCCTTCACATCCTATTGCACTCATGGGACATGACTTCTCTCTGCCATTCCTTCACACAGGGAGCTGCCAAAGCATTCATGCT